GCCCCAGTGCTGCGTCCCCGACGGTCTCCCTGGCCCCAGGCCAGCTGGGGACCCTTGTCACGGTGGGAGAAAGGGCAAGCTGAGCCAGGTGATGGCCCAGGCAGCTCCTTCTCCAGTGCTGCCAAGCCCCTGCGATGCTCAGACCCTATCCTGGCTCAGGGTGTTTGGGGGAGGCTCAGGACAGTCCCTGACCCAGCCCCAGTTGCCCAGAGCCAGTGGGTGCCCCAGGTCCCGTGGATGCAGGAGCAACTCTTGGGCCACTTGGGTGGAAAATCCAAAACCCCCAGGTCCCTTTTTCCCTCTCCGGCCGCCTTGGGTACTATCTGGGACAAGGTGGGATGTAGGGGAGAGCGGGCCAGGCAGGGAGGGGTTGGGGGGCTGCAGTGCCCCTGGGCTGAGCCTGCTCCCTGCTGTCACTCCCTCTCCCACCACTCGGCCAGTATGGCTGGAGCAGCGCAGGGGGAAAACGCAGCATTTTTGGCGGGGAGGGGGGAAATTGTATTAAAATGTCATCACTTCACATGCCGAAACTGCTGGTCTCAGGGTGGCGTTTTTAGGTGGACATGAGTGTTTTCCAGCCCCACCATCCCCTTGCTCTACGGAGGTGCTGAGCTCTGGGGCCGCGCAGTGCCCAGGCCAGGTCAGTGGCAGAGTCCCCTGGGGCAGGCAATGCCCGAACGGAGGAGCTGCTGCCAAATCTTGAGAAGAGCCAGGACCCAGGGCCTGTGCCCAGGGGCTGTGTGCCAGCATGGCCCTGCCGGTGATGCCGCTGGAGGTGGCTGCACCTGGGGCATTTCTGCATCCTCTGCAGTCCCCAAGGTCCAAGCATTGCTGGGGCTGCAGATCCACCGCTGCTCAGCCTGTTAGCTGCCCAGAGAGCTAGCTGCCCAGGCACCAAGGGAGCCTTCCTCCTACATGCTCCAGGGGGGAACTCTCATCCTCCTCTCCAGCCGAGGAGGATTTGGTTCACAGCTATGTGGCAGGCAGAGGCCTGACTTAACTCCTTGTTACCCTGGACCCTCGCAGCCCTCCTCCCACAGGCGCACCTTTCTAATGCAGCTCTTGGAGGGGAAATTTCTCCCAGCCTTTTGCTCTTGGCCAGGACCAGTCTCAGGTACTCTCTGCTGCCCATCTCCAGTTCAGGGAAAAACTGCCTGGCTGGATCATTTTGGGGTGGCTGGTGTGGCCATTTCTAGCTGGCAAGGAAGCATATAAGCCCCTCCAGGAAGAATCCCGGTCCCCTGAGAGGAGGTAGGAACAAGGTGTGTTGGGAGAAACAAGGAGCTAGGAACAAGGACCCCAGGGGGTCCCAGCTCGCAGCATCATCCTGTGCTTGTGATAACAGGGTTGTAGCTCCAAGCAGGAGTGGGACCCACCTGGGCATGGACCTGGCGGAGTTATGAGGCAGCATGCAGCAGCACCAGCAGCATGCTCAAAGCTCCCTTTGTGTCTGGAGATCTCCAGCTAATTCCTCTCCATCAGAGCCACATGCCTGGCAATGTGGTGAGGCAACATCTCTCACATTGTTCCTTGAAATGATCATTATAGACTGATGGAAGAAGAGAAACTGGCAGGCTAAGATGCGTTCACAAAAATATCCCCTCCAAGGTCAGTTTAAATAAGTCTCCATCTTCGTTGGGAGCGCTGCGTGGGAGAGCTCATGTCAGCTCTGTGCCATGGCCAGTGCAGAGGTGGGCTTTGCTGCTCCTCTCCTGCCACATCATCTTGTCCCCTGGCAAAGTGTCACGACCCCAGCTGTGCTCCTGGGCACCTCCTCACTCACGCCATGCCAGCCCACGGCTCAGGACAGTGTTGTGTCCCCCAAGCACCCCAGGCCATGAGTCTGTGCCAGGCAGGGTACAGATGTTTGCCCAGCGACTCAAGTTGGGGCTGACGATTGAACCCTGGAGAGTCTCTCCCTGCTTTCCCCCTCCAGCGCCGGCACGGAGCCCGGCTGCTGTGCAGGAGACCCGTCGCCTGCTGCGCCCTGTCCCCACCGCAGCCCTGGTGCTGGGACATGCGTGGCCTTGAACGCCATGCCAGGGGACATGGCAGGCAGGGGCTTTGCTGGCAGAGGGATGGGTAAAACGTGGGCACATGGCACTCGAGCTGTGGCAGGTGAGTGGGGAAACCACCGGGATCACAACGGAAGAAGGAAGGAGTCCTGGGGTCAGCATGCTGACTTGGCACTGGAGCGGATGCAACGCGGGCACAGCCGCTTCCCCTGGCAGCTGGCAATCCCCACGGAGTGCCAAAATGTGCCTGCAGACCCCTGGTGCCAGCAGGCAGCTAACCTGCCTCCTCTGCCCCGCAGGCTGGTCTCAGGGCGGGAGGAGATTAAAGCTGCTTCCCGAAGCTCACCCCAGCGCATGTCACCCTCTGATTTCCTGGACAAGCTTATGGGACGAACGTCAGGGTATGACGCCCGGATTCGACCCAACTTCAAAGGTAAAGGGAGGACGTGAGGCGCCCAAACGTGGCAGCGACCCATGCTTATGGCTGCCTAAAACCAGGGAATGGGCAGGTATGGGGTCAGGACCCTGACTCACGTCCCTCTGTCCCAACACCCTCCCCAGAACCCCGGCTGCTCCCGTGATCACAACCCCCCTGCGTGTGCCTGCTTTGCCTGACTGCGTGGGTGTCACTTGCAGGGTGTGCTGGGGCTCACCCCAACACACAACAGGGGTGACCCCAGCGGGCAGGGGGATGCTCGTGTGCATTCATCCGTGCAGCACGTGCAGGAGGCGGTGTCCCCACGTGTGCCTGTGTGGTGCACGTGTCTCCTTGGCCAGCGGCGAGAGGAGGCTTCACGCTGTTTTCCAGGTCCGCCTGTCAACGTGACGTGCAACATCTTCATCAACAGCTTCGGCTCTGTCACCGAGACCACCATGGTGAGGGTTTCACCAGCATGATGGGCTCCTCTCCGAGTGCCTCGGGGCTGGTGGTGGCTCTGCTGGGGACCCTGCAGGTCCTGGTGCCCAAGCCTGTGGTCGTGCTTATGGGGCTCCTGTGAGCCCTTCTCTGGAGCTGGCCCTGGCACCACGGTGGGGACATGCAGATCCATAGCAAATGGCTGTGGCTTTTCTGGGGTCGATTAACCAGAGCTTGGCTATGTGGGCCACATCCCCTGTGCCTGAGCTGGGAGAAACACCCCAAAGGGTCAGAGCCAGGCAGCCAGTGGTAGCTCCCCGCTGTTCGCAGGCTCAGTGGGTGCCATACAACGCAAGTGAGCTCTGCGTCCCTGCCATCCCCAGCCTCCTTGGGTGCATGAGAAACTCCTCTGAGGAAGCCCCAGGGCTAAAAACTCCCTATTTGTGCTGCTGCAAAGCCTTAATACCATCAACCATCACATCAACCCCTCCACAGGGCCACAGAGGCCTGTGAGGAACACTGTAGGCGGCAGCTACTGTGCCTCCTCCTCCTTCTCCTCCTTTCAGCTGCTGTGGCTTTGGCTTTTTAATTTCCCCTGGCTGGCTGCCCCTGCCCCGTGTGTGGTTAGTGGCAGGCAGGCAGCACCAGCAGAGCTGAGCCTCGACCAAGAGACCCCCCTTCCTCCTCCTCCTCAATCTCTTCTTCCTCCTCCATCTCTTCCTTCTCCTCCTCCCTGGGCACCGTAGGGTGCTCCTGGCTGACGCAGTGCCCTCTGCCCCAGGATTACCGGGTGAACGTCTTCCTGCGGCAGCAGTGGAACGACCCCCGCCTGGCTTACCACGAGTACCCCGATGACTCCCTCGACCTCGATCCCTCCATGCTCGACTCCATCTGGAAGCCAGACTTGTTCTTTGCCAACGAGAAAGGGGCCAATTTCCACGAGGTCACCACCGACAACAAGCTGCTGCGCATCTTCAAGAACGGCAACGTGCTCTATAGCATTAGGTAGAACCCCTCTCCTCTGGTGCAGTGCCTGAGCGGGGAGGCGAAGCTGTCTTCTTGCATCCCGTAGGGCAGCTTTTCCTCTTTGACTGCCCCAGCCCCCAGCAACCCGCTCCTTTCTTCTGCCTCCTCCAGGCTGACGCTGATCCTGTCCTGCCCCATGGACCTCAAGAACTTCCCCATGGACATCCAGACGTGCACCATGCAGCTGGAGAGCTGTGAGTACCTAGCGGGGTTCAAGCTGTGATTCATCCTCCCCATTCCATCCTATCTCATCCCACCTCATCCGATCCCATCCCATCCCATCCTATCCCAAAGGCTGGCATCTCCCAGCTTCTGAGGGAGGTGAGCAGGAAAGAGCGGGTCGTTCAGGGTGGGGATGAACTGAGTGCGTGTCCCCCCTCATCCCATGGCTCCCTCCATCCCCTCCAGTTGGCTACACCATGAACGACCTCATCTTCGAGTGGCTGGAGGAGCAGGAGGCTGTGCAGGTGGCAGAGGGCTTGACGCTCCCGCAGTTCATCCTCAGGGATGAGAAGGACCTGGGTTATTGCACCAAGTACTACAACACAGGTGAGCACCCCAGGGACCTGCTGCCACCCGCTTGCCATGGCCCAGGGGTCCCTCTTGCCCACTGGGGCTGTCTTTCCCTGCAGGCAAGTTCACCTGCATTGAGGTGAAGTTCCACCTGGAGAGGCAGATGGGTTACTACCTAATCCAGATGTACATCCCCAGCCTGCTCATTGTCATCCTCTCCTGGGTCTCCTTCTGGATCAACATGGATGCAGCGCCAGCCCGGGTGGGCTTGGGCATCACCACAGTGCTCACCATGACCACGCAGAGCGCTGGCTCCCGTGCCTCCCTGCCAAAGGTCAGTGCTGGCTCCGTGCCACAGCCTGCCCGGGATACCTACTGCTGTCCCCAGCGTCCCCGGCGCAGGGGCAGCCTTCCCTTGGGAATGGCTGGCTCTGCAGCCTTGCTGGCTGGGGAAGGGGCAACACAGGGCTGCTCGACCAGGTGAGCTCTGGCCCTTGTGTCCCAGATGAGAGGTCTCTTGTGCCCCTTGGCAGCAGGGCGAAGCTGGCATTGGGGGGGTCGAGCCAAGTGGGGGGCAGTGGGTCCCTGATCCCCCTCTTGCCCTCATAGGTCTCCTACGTGAAGGCCATTGACATCTGGATGGCTGTGTGCCTGCTCTTCGTCTTTGCCGCCTTGTTGGAGTACGCAGCCGTCAACTTCGTCTCCCGCCAGCACAAGGAGTTCATGCGCCTGCGTCGGCGCCAGCGTCGGCAGAGGATGGTGAGTCCCTCCCACTACCGCTGTCACAATGCCTGCCCGTCCTCAGCCGCTGAAGGGACACCCTGAGGCTGCAGGGCCAATTTCTCAGCAGCCACTGCGGCAGGGCTCGGCACTGGGCTGTGTCCCACTGCCTAGGGATTGCAGTTGGCCCCGCCGGCACATCAGGGACCCACGGGCATCGCAGTCCTTCTGCCTGCCTGAGCAGCACCGTGCACAGCACCCATGGGTGCCCCAGGCCCTGCCAGCACAAACATGCCCAGGGTGTTGTCCTCCTCCTGCTGGGACATCCTCGGGCTCTGCTTCCTCTAAAAAAGCAGAAAAATAAACAGCAAAGATGAGGGAAATGGCCTTTCCCCTTACCTGCAGCCCCAACCCAGGTTTCTCACTGTGCTGCAGTGGTGACGGGCTCACTGCTGTGTCATGGTGGTGAAGCACCAAGGGGATCTGGTGGCACCCAGGGACAGGGTCTGGGCTGCAGATGGGAGCACAGCAGGGCATGGAGAGGCAGGGTCCCGTGCCTGCGGGACAGCCCTCCCCTCCATCAGCCCATCGGCACAGGCATCAGGCCTGTGAGATGCTCGGGGAAGGCACGTGGCTGCCCCACTCTCATTTTCTTATCATAAGCACACTGCGAGGCACCAGACCACCACGGAAAACATGAGTACGTGTACACACCGCACAGTGCCCTGCGCAGCCAAATCCCTTCGGCACATGCTGAAGATGGATCCTGGTGCCCAGGTACTGCTGGGGGGGCTTTTCCTCCCCACATGGAGCCCTTGTCCCCCTGCCATCCCCATCCCGGCACCCAGAGCTGCTGTCCCTAGGGCCGGGGCAGAGCCATCGGTCACCCACTGTCCTGTTTCTGTTTGGTGTGCACTGTCGGATGCCAAAAGGGCCTGAGCAGCGGGACGGCCAGCCTGGAGTCCCTGGGGCAGCT